ATAATGCTGCGCAGTGTCTGGTCTGACCTAATATTAGAAGGAAGCAGCTGGAAGAGGCTATTTTCACAAACCGGCTCTGCTATTATAATAGCTTAAGGGGGGAAAAATATGAGTGCGTGAGAGTCGGAGTTGTTCTCTAGTACCATTAAGAATTTTAAAATAAGAAAATAGATGTAGAAATATGATAATTCTAAATAAGACTTTATGTCTGTTGAATATCGTTATATGTTGTAAATGAAAATGAATTTAACAAAATTAATAAAATGGAGCTAATAGTTGGCTAATTTAAGAGCTGACTGAGAAATATTTGTCAGTGTTACTTGTTAGCTATAGTTACGTTTTGGGCAATAAATGTTATAAGCAAGTTTTTTCTAATATTGTATTTTTAATTAATATAAGCTAGGGATGTGGTGGCTACTGTAACCTGGTCTAAAGACTTGTATTACCAAACTATTATCTGCTCCAAGCTAATAATGTATTCACAAGTTTCATGTGACGTTATATGATAGCTATCTGGCATGTTTTAAGCTGCGCTACCAGATTGGTTTGTCCTGTAGTAACGTTCGAATGAAGAGATGGTCACTGATCACAGTCAATCAATTAAGTCAGTCAAGTAATCAAAACTGATTACTTGTAACTCAGTTTGCACAAACCACCGATTGCATTTTCTTTAGAAAATAAGTAAACAAAATTGCACAAACACTTGGGATGTGTAGAAGCTTTTTTTTTTGGATTGTTGCACCATTTCCTAGCATTTCTTTAGCCGTGTCCACTTAAGCCCTGGTTAGTTATTATAGTAATTATATCACAGTCATGCAGTAGCCATTCTTATGTATTGTAAACAGACGGTTATCTTTTCTTCATTATTTAGGAAAATTAGACGTTAAGGGGCCCATATAAGGGAAAACGTAGAATAATTAATTTTTGTTACATAAAACCATACAAATGTTATAAGTGGGCTTCATGGGAAAAAACAACACACAACTTTATTTTGTGCTTCTAAGGTATTGTTGTCATTGTTACTGTCACTGAGGTGAGCTATTTATTTTTAGTAAAACATGTATTCGCAGCAGGATTCGACTCTGAACCGACTCCACAGACAGAACTGTGAAGCTGCTAGGAGTTTGATTCAGATGGCCGTGTGAATCGGTTCGACTGATTCACTGAAAAGAATCAGTTCAAAAAAAGGATTCGTCGCTCGCGAGACGAGAACTGACATTCCGCCTCTGCTATCTGAGGACTGATTTCTGTAGCTCTGATAAATGATGGCTTTAAACTACATTTTACTGAACACATGAACATAAGTCACATTTAATTTGATGTCTAGGACATAATTCGGTATATTTTGATATCATTTGTAGCGTTACTAGTGGTACAGTTTGTTGTAAAGCTGCTTATCTTTCGTTAACTGCTAAGCTAACAAGCTAACCGAGAGGCTGCTAGCTAGCGTTAGCAAGCCGACTAACTCCGGACTGCAGTTCCTGACGGTTATTCTGCAGAATCTGCATGAAGCTGACCGCCTGTTTAAAGTTTAAAACAACACGGAGAGTTTTAGTTTGTCTTCTTTTGCTTTTTAACCACATTCATTGTAGCCTATACACAATATAACGTTAGCTAACATTAGCATACATACGCTCACTTTACTTCACACACTAGCTAACCTTAGCTAAGTAAATCACTATGTTAGTGTGTCCTCAGCCCCTAGGTTTCTTAGTCAATTATTGGCTATTGGTTAGGACTTACGTAGTAAATATTAGCATTTTTATTAATTTTTTTGAAACTGGTATGTACATCACATAGCTTGTTATGACAGTAAATAAGGTAACTCTCAAAATATGTGCACAATTTATTTAACTTACTGTGATGTAAACAGAGTCACTCAAAATAGTTCGAGGTAAAACGTTTTTGGTAAATTGTACCAAAAAAAAACTGACTCCTGGTTTCTTTACAGTGGTGGTGACAGGAACCAGAAGTTGGGATGTGTACAATACAAATATAGTTATTTTACATTTTGTAAATGACAGTAAACGTACACATGCCTTCTGAGTTTATATGGAATGTTGATGATGGTAAAATAGTGGTAAATCTGAAATAATAAGTTTTCTTTGGGGACTGTTTTGCCTCACAACACCCTGCATGTATCGCTCCACCATGAATGGACAGATGAAGCAAATTTAGAGGCATTGAACTCTTCAGAAGTCTGGTTCCTGTCGCCATCACTGTTAACAATTCAGACTCAGTATGTTTCTCTAGAATGGAGCATCTCACACCAAACCTGAATGACTCTGTTTACATCTCAAACATGTACCAATGTGCCTGATCCAGCTCATGAAGGGCTCCATAATCAGTTGATGGGCTGGATCAGGTGAAATGAAATATATATTGAAGGAATATGACCAGGATGGAAAAAAAACATGGTCTTAGACAGTTCATTAGATGTACTGTTTATATTTTGTTTTCTTGTCTGCTTATCTTTATAGCAGAGCTACGATACTACTTTGTTTTAGTTCTGAAAGTTTGTCTTAGACAGCTTACTCTGTTCTTCCATAAAGCACACATGAATACTAAATTAATGATTTTTGTGGTGCTCAAATCAAATTGCTCTTCATTTACAATAACTTGCACACTGTGACATGTAAATGTATTTGTACATCATGCTATTCTGCATTTATTTATATTTAATGAATTGTCTTTTGATTTCTGTGTGTTTTTCTTTACAGGACGTCTTTAAGTCAGACAGTGCTGTTCTGTGTAAGTTATTTTGCTTATCAGTCTAACAAAGTTGCTCTTTATTCACAAAACACAGGCATCTCCGCATGTATAGACAAAAGCATGTCTTCATGATATGTATGTGTGATGTTTTAATTACCTTAATCAAGAGGGAGTGCTCCAGTGTTGTCCAGAAAGCAAGCTTAGTTTGTTTTGGACAGTATGTTGTATATATATGATTAATTGTCTTCTTTCTGTTTCTGTGGCTTCACAGACAGTAAGTGTTTAAAATGTCTATCAGACGATTCATTGAGGTACTAGGCAAGCCTACCACACATACCATGCTAATATGTGCATTTCAACAGTGAACATCTCAGAAAGCAAAAAAGAAAAAAAAAACCTTTGCCAGACACATCACCAAAACAGCAATGCATAACGAAATTACTGATTTGTGTAAAACTACATTTTCCCTTTTACTATAATTCTTGAATCATATGACTGACTATGGAGATTGAACTTCTCACGATTCAGTTTTCATCAAATTTTGGTGATAATAGGTGTCAGTTTGTTCCTGCGCAGCAACATGCATATTTCTCTGCTTACTAGATGTACTGTTTATCCTTAATTGTCATCTTGTGTATTTGTCTTTACAGATCTTCATAACAGACAGTGCTGCCCTGTGTAAGTGTTATCCTTTTCTCTCAGTCATGATTTTAAGCTCTTGCATAAAATTAGTAATACATTCTAAAAGTTATTGTTGCTCCATATTCTCAAAACCTCATATATTGGTATTTGACGCCAGTATTATGCTACTGTGTTACATATGTAGAATGTTACATATCTTTTAATGCCATCAATCCAGTAGCAGTAAATGAGGCCAAATTTCTTTTATTTTAGACCATTTTTGTATGTTTTATCCTTCTCCCTGATCATGGAGCTTTGTTTTTACAGGAGTTCTTCTTCACAAGCCTCGCTGCTCTGTGTAAGTTGGGAACATTTTTCTGAAAGGGGAATTGCACTGATTTTTCAAATTTAATAAATTACGTAAGTATATTATTATACGTCCAAAATTTTATTGCAAAACTATTTTTTATTTTTTAGAATAGGTTATTAGATAAGTATATTCTAAAGAGAAAACAGAGTACTTAAATGTGCAATGAAACTGTTGACATTTAAACAAAGTCACAGGGGTTCTGGAGATCCTTAAAAAGTGTTGTAGATGTTGAAAATTTAATGACTTAAAATATGTCTGTGTGTGTGTTGGGGGGGGTCTTTTTAAAAAGACTACTACTTGAAGTGGTCTTGGGGTATTTAGTTCCTATCACTACTGCTGTGAACAATTCAAACTTTCTGGTAAGGTTTTCTTCAGTGAAGCATTTGACATCAAACCACTCTGAAGGACTGTTAATGTCTTAGTGACATAACTATATAGACATTTTGAAAAATCATTGGAATTCTCCTTTAAGTCTAATAGTGCAGTACTAAAACAAACTTGAATGCCTTTTCTTTTGTTAGCATTGCTGTAGACTGATGTCTTTTTTTGTTGTTGTTTTTGCTTGTACTGTTGTTTGCAAACAATTGCAAGCCCATGGACAAATTATAGGTTTTGTTGGTTTTCTAAAGTGAAAATGGTTAACACAATCTGTACCAGGAACACACTTAATATGGCATTTCTGAACATTTTACTGCACAATTTATATTTACAGTTTAACAAAAACGACATCAGTCTGAACAGATCAGCTCCTAAACCGACCCGCATGCGCAAAAGAACAATGCTTCACGTGGCAGCTCATCTTTTCAGTTTCAGGAGCTTTCAGTTTCGTCCTCGCCAGCATCACAGGAGCGAGTTATAAAGTTCCAGTGGTTGACAGCTGGACTCATCACCCAGAATGTGTTTGAGTTCGCCGAAAAAAGGGCAAGTTATTCGGCCACTTCCTTTTAACTGTTGTCTGACGCTGCAGCCTCGGTCTCCTCCGGCCGCGTTCGGCCGTTTCGTTTGAACACGGAGCGGCTGCTCTGAGTCTCTTCTAATGTTTTGGTACAGAAATATCAACCTATATTTCTGAGTCTCAGCAGCGCGAAATTATGACGAATGTCGAGTTGGATTGACGTAAAAGTCGCATGAATTCCGATCTGGCTGTTCAGACTGAGTCGCATTGCCGCGGATCGGATACATATCGGATTTCAGAACCACATATGAAAGCGTCTCAAATCGGAATTAAAAACGCGTTTTCAATGCGTTTTTTGCTGTTCACACAGCCACACAGATGACACATCTGTGTCACATATGAGGAAAAAGATCGGATTTGGGCCACTTTTACCTGCTGTGTAAACGTAGCCTTAGTGACCTACTGACCTTTGATGAGTTACCAAGTACAATACAGACAGACTCACAGTGTTACAGCATTATTAAATACCCACAGAGATTCGGGTTTTTAAAGGACTATGCGCCGCAGGGAATGGACGAGTATGTAATCCTAGAGAGAGCTCTCAGCTGTCTGAGAGGTGATGTCACTGACGCGCTGCTGCTGACTGGAGCCACATGCATCGCCGTGTTCAGAGATCGCGCAAGCAGATTCGGGTTTTTTGATCCTCATTGCAGAACACCTGATGGTTTAACAGCTGATGAGCACATGGGCACAGCTGTGATGCTTACTTTTGCAAACTTAGAAGACATGATTGAAAGGTTGCTAATTCTGTATCAAGTATGCCTTGAACTGAAGGACAATCAGCAATATGAACTCCTTCCTGTATCCTTTGTGAACAGAGATTGGGCCACTACTGCAGACACTCATGGCAATCTATCTTGTGAGATTCCAACAATGGTAGACACATGTTCCAGTCTATGCTCTGACCTTTGCCAGTTTATGGAACAACCCATGGCTAAATAAAACAAAACACAAAGAATGAGGCAATATTTCCAAAAACGCATTAAGAAAAAAGAGCAATCCATCCAGACAGAGGGCAAAAAGACAGGGTTAAATTGGAAAAACAGATATGCAAATGATCCTAAATTCAAAGAAAAGATGAAACAGCACATCCCAGTACATTATACTGAAAATATAAATTACAGTACGTAATTATAAATGTCAAAGTTAATTACATGATTAACACAATATATAGAGTAAAGCAAAAACAGTATGTCACCAATAGCTACAAGAATAATCCAGACTTCAGAGAGAAGCAGAGATGGTACGTTACCGATAGCTACAAGAATAATCCAGATTTCAGAGAGAAGCAGAGATGGTACGTCACCGATAGCTACAAGAATAATCCAGATTTCAGAGAGAAGCAGAGACGATACGTTACAGATAGCTACAAGAATAATCCAGATATCAGAGAGAAGCAGAGACGGTACGTTACCGATAGCTACAAGAATAATCCAGATTTCAGAGAGAAGCAGAGACGGTACATTACCGATAGCTACAAGAATAATCCAGATTTCAGAGAGAAGCAGAGACGGTACATTACTGATAGCTACAAGAATAATCCAGATTGCAGAGACGGTACGTCACCAACAGCTACAAAATAGATGACGCTTTCAGGCAAAGGCAGAAACAGTATTTTATAAAACGGTATAGACATGATCTGAACTTTCGTGAACAAAAGAAACAACAATTTAAAAGACTACATCGGACTGATTTGCACTTCAGGACCAATCACAGAGAACACTGCTTACTTTGGTCAAAAAATAGAGCATCTAGACTTAAAATCCTACACAAGATACGCTGTGCACAACATATACAGAGGAAATACAGAGAAACACAACAATACAAACACAACAAACACCACAGGAGAACAATGAAACCCTGAATCCCAAAGTGCTGAAGGCACTGGTCCACTTTAAGGAGATAACGAAAGCTGGTCCAAGTTATATTTGCACAGTATGTCACAGAGCACTGTTTTCTGATCAGGTCCGTCTGTGTGATCGTACACAGAATCCAGTGATGGTTTCAGCTTGCTTGACAGGAGAATATGTTCACAGCTGTTCTCCTAACTGTCCTGATAACTGTGTAACAGAAGAAAGGAAAAGTGAGTGGATCTGCCACAGCTGCCATGATAATTTATTAAAGGGAAAGATGCCTCCCATCACCTCTGCAAACAAACTCCAACTTGCACAGATTCCACAGGAGCTCTGCAATATAAATATACTGGAAAGACATGTTATAGCCAAATATGTGTGTTTTGCAAAGGTCATCAGTCTTCCCAAAGGTCAGCAGAGAGCCATTAAAGGTCCAGTTGTGTCAGTTCCTTCAGATGTTGAAACCACAATGTTTTACCCAGACCGAGGAGTGAATCACAGCTACTCACAGTAAAACTGAAAAGACGACTGTGCTACACAGGCCATTATCACTTTCAGACAATATCTATGCAGAAAGAAACACTTGCATATTCATAATCCTCGGTTTAGTCCACATAAACACCTCACTAAAACTTTTAAGCTGAAGCCTGGAAATTTTAAAAATAATTGGCAAAATATGAGACACCTACAAGAGTTATTAAAGGGCGACTCAACCACTGGACAAATATGGACCCCTTTGGCCAATAAGATTTCAACAGGCATTTGGAGGGCTTAGCATTGAACAATCATCACAAACAATAAATGATGTGTCCATATAGGCATTCTCTAATAGCTTATGAAGTTTGACCTCAATTGACCATGCAGTGGTGCTATTTAACAAAATCAAGTCTTATAAATCTCATCTTGGATAAAAATAAACTACAACATGCCTTTCACTGAGACTGACTTTTTTCATATGAAAGTCTTCAAATTGTCTTAAACTTAAAATAATCTGTGGAGTCTGTAGGTAAATAATTATTAAAAACATTTTGACTTTAATGCACAGAGTGGCTGCAAGACATCAAACGCTTCAGTCTGGCTTTTTTGGACATAAGAACCTATAATTCCATTAGCAGTTCTCTGATTGAGATATAATTTGAAATCACTATACAAGCCATCACCAGATGAAGCATGCCAGGTTTCATTGAAAGTGGTCAACAAAATCCCCTCTAATGCTCAATCTAGTGCAAATTTATTCAAAATGTCAGTATTTCCTTTTAGGAACAGGAAATATGGCAATTTCACTTGAACACATCTTGGCCACCAAATCAGGAATGGCAGCAGTAACTGCATATTGCAAACTTCAACTTGACAAACAGTCATATGCTTTAATATATCTTGTGGCACAGAAAGTTTCTGAATGTTTTATACTACACTGAGCCTGACAATTTTGCACATACAAGTCTTTAAAAAAATAATAATGTTTTCCAGTAAATCATCAAAGTTTGAAGTGATATTTTCAGATTTTTATTGCATCCCACTAGTGTCTTACCACAAAAGCATCTGCCATTGAAGGCTAAGGTCAGAGGTGTAAGTAACGAATTGCATTTACTCTCGTTACTGTAATTGAGTACAGTTTTCCCCTTAACAGTGCTTTTTGGAGTAGAATAAACTCATAGTACTTTTACTTAATTTTTAATGAAATACTGTTACTTCGCTACTTTATTCATAACGTTACAGAGTAAAAATAAATTATTGGTGTATCAGTTCAGAAACCTATAGGAACAGAGAGCGGTTAAATTTAAAAATTCACCAATCAAAAACAGCAGCTCCGACAGGAAAAACACTAGATAGATGTCCAGTTTAGTGAAGAAGGGCAGAGGAGAACTGAACCAGACCGCGTCCAAACGGTCATCAGTATTCGTTTTCACATGAACTAAAGAAAACGGCGTTATTATCAGCGGCCAAACACGAAACCTGCTGAGATCCGCTTTCACAACTCTACACCAGCCTGAGGGAGCATTAACCGAGCTAGCTGATACGAGCTAAATAGGTAACGTGTTTACGATTTTCTTCTTTCTTTTATAATGATTCTATTACACTGAAAAATCGTTTGTGTATATTTTATTACAGTATCTGTCAGCTACTTTAGTTAACAGGTGTCGCCCATGAATTTTACCCATTTAAAATTCAGCCTAGTTTAGTTGCTGTTTTGGAGATAAACGGTCGTGAACGGCTGCGAGACAAGAGATCTAGTCTAATACAGGCCCTTCATCAACTCTGCACAGTGATTCTGTCACACTGTCATTGACTGGCCTGATCTGATCCCTCCCCACCTCTCCGGCCTCTCACTCTCTGTCTCTCCCTCTCTCTCTCTTCCCCTCTCCGTGTTTCTCTCTTCCTCTCTCCCTCTCTCTGCCTTGGTGTTTGTCTTTAACTGTGAGAGGCTGTGTAGCTGTTTAACTGTGAAATACAGTAATAAGTTTTAGATTCTGTATGAAGTGATCAGCATGATTACTAGTGAAATACAGTAAAAATCAAAGTTGGGTAAATTGCTGATGTTGCTGCTGATTTTAATGGTGTAAATGTTCTGAACTTAATTAAACAGTAACAACCTCTGCACAGTCTTTCAGGGATTCTAAAATACTTTACTGGTAACAGATAAACTAGGACGTCATATATAATTATCTAACCTTGAAACACATGCAATTTAATGTAAACCTTGTTCCTTATACAGTTCACAGAAAGGTGTGTAAATATTCAGTAGTGTACTGTGATCAGTCTCAGCTTTTAGAACTTTAGCTTTAGTGTTTTTCTATACAGATTATTTCCAGTGATGTAGCAGAGTAAGCTCAGAAATATGTTCAGGTTGTGACAGCGGACTAACTCAGCACTAAAGTTGTTTTTGAACAAACTACTTATTTACTCTTACTTGAGTAATTTTACTAATACTTTTACTTGTACTTGAGTAAATTATCACTACAGTAACAGTACTTGTACTTGAGTAGGGATTTTCAGTACTCTTTACACCTCTGGCTAAGGTCCTTGGTTCAATTTCACCATCAGGGATAATGGATGGATGTATAAACCGTACTGCATATATCACTTAAGGGTCATAAGAAATGTAGGTCTTTCTTAAAAATCTGTCTTCTATGACCAATGACAGCTGAGGGTGTAATTGAATTCATTTTCTATTGTACTAATCAATAATCACAATAATTGAAAGTTGGGAACAAGTTCAAATATGGCACTTCAGTCTACAACCCCAGCCATTAAGGCCTGAACTGACTGAGGTCTGCTCCTTCTCAAACAAGCTGAAATGTAGGTAAGTAAAAAATTTCAATACATGAACAAAAAACTTTCCAAAAACAACACATTTGGAATAATTATTTTTCATTATTTTATATTATTATTTTTCAATTATCTACATTAGGAAAAAAACTGCATGAGTAAGACTAAAATTAATCTGTATCAGTAAGAGTTTGTGGCATGGAAGGGTTATGAGCTCCATTACAAGGGCCTAAATAGGATTCATGAAATCAAATGCAGCACAATGATCTAGGAAAACAATAATATTCTCTACACCAGAGATCAGGGGGTTTGAAAATCAGTGAAAATCAGTGGGTAACAAATATAGTTGTATAAAGTATTACATTTTGTAGATTTCCTTATGAATCCAACCCAGGCTCCAAAGAACACAGACTATTCTTCTCAGAGGGAAAAATATAGTTTTACTGATGTGTCATTTTACAGTTGTACAAGAAAAAACAAAACACTTTTTTACTCACACCTTTGCACATGCTCACCCCAAGCAATGAACCCATATCTAGTCATTTAACTTCCCTTCAAGATGATCCCAAGTTTACTTGAATAGTGACATCTATCAGTTTCTGTTTATTTATACCAATGCTTGTTGCAAGGCAGAAATCAAAACTATCAAAGATCCAAGATTTTTTATTCTGAAGATTGTGTAACTATTTACAAAATCCCAAATTTAATTTAGTAGTGAGTGGGTCGCACTCTGTTCTAAATGGAAATTAATTTAAAATGAATGAAGGAGTGAATGATGAATGATCACATAAGAATGAAAGAAAATTTCCTCTCTGTAACTAAATCAATCAAATTAAAAAAAGGAGTTTTGGAAATCTAGCTTTGGATCAAAGATACTAGACCCGTAAAAAGACTAAACTAGTTCTTTCCTAAACAGTTTGCTACAACTTTTCATTAAGTAAGCACAATTACTTAGTAAAATAAAGACAATTTCAGAAATACATTTTCATGTACACAATCAATAAAAAACTCAGGTAACTGATTTTAAAAATACTTGTACCTCTTTCTTTAAGATAATGATCATATTATAATTTGAATAAGTAGAAATTGAGCGGTAGCAGCAGTAAACAAAATAAACTTGGTGACAAAAAAAAGCAGCACAAAACACACTGAAAAAATTCACATATGAGGGGTTTTGTACTCTAATAGTTTTACAGTATTAGATCAGCTATCTAGCAAACCTAAGCCTATACTGTTTTTTTATGTTCATTAAAGTAACTTAATATAGACTGTTATCCATTGCAATAAATAAAGTATTTTAAAGAGAGGACACAAATGAAGTGATGCACAAAGGGACAGGCTGGATACGGACAGCCTGGAGGATATAGTTTTTACATATTCTGTTTTGATTTTTTTTTTTTTTTGATAAAGTATAGTATAATAGCCTTCTGCAACTCTTATCTCAAAGAATGACTCTGGAACTTAAACTGTGATGTATAATTGTAAACAATTATTTATATAACAAACAAATATTTATATAACATTTCAAAGTACAGCTACACAGGCACTATATGTCCAAAAGTATCCCCACACCTCTTCAGTTAGTGAATTCAACTAGTTTACTAGCACTCATTGCTGACACAGGCAATGAACTGCTCACATAGCTTGTAAAGCATAGCCAGTAGAAAATGACACTTCATCTATCAGTATATTCAGTGGTCCACGAGAGCAGCATAACAATCCATTCACAGCACAATGTTTTTAGTGACTTGGCACATTAATACAGAATTCAACTGTTGTGAAGCATAGGTGTGCGTATATGGAGTGTTTTGCAATGGTTTTGAACATGTTTCAGCTAATCAAATTTAAAGACCAAAGGAATCTGTCTTATAATGAACTTTTGGACATATAGCATACTGTTGCAATATCATAGGCCTGTTGAGTACATCAGAAATCTCTCTCTTCAAATATAGGATCTATGGCTACTAGTGCAATTTTACTTTAAATACTACACTAATACCGTACTCATGTTGTGTGGTTGGTGTAGTGTAGTGGGTAACACCTCTGTCTTCTACGCTGTAGACTGGAGTTCAATCCCCGCCTGGGTGAGCACCCTACACTACACCAATAAGATTCTCTGGGCAAGACTCCTAACATTAGCTTCGCCTACCTGTGTAAAATGATCAAATTTGTAAGTCGCTCTGGATAAGAGCGTCTGTCAAATACCATAATTGTAAATGAAAGCTGAAATTTATAACAGATGTTGTAATAGGGTATTTATTAGGGGTGTAATGGTTCAGTGGACCCCTGTTTTTGGGTCATAGTTCAGTTCATATTGTGTGGTTTAGCTAGAATTATTTTGACCAACTCAGAACCGAAAATGTTAGTCATACAAATTTAACACAAGACGTACAAAATGAAAACAAAACTAAAGAAATTACAGAGTGCTATCTTACAGAGTGCTATATTTCTTATAAGGTTCTCTTTTAAAATGGTTGCAAAGCAAAAAAAATGTATCTTTATTTTTTTCAAATATCTCGGCCCCCCCATGTGTGCTAATTTTCACTCATTCTGACTTAAATGCATTTCTCATTTTGCCAGTTTTTGCTTTGTTTCTATTTGCTGATTTTGCTGATATATTTTTCGCTTCTGGAATTGCTCTTTTTCTTCTGACTTTTGTCACTTTTTAACAGGGGGCACGTCTTAGAAGAGGGTGTTTACCTGCTGGTCAACTGATTTGGAGTGATGGGTCTTCTGAACACATAGCCACACCCACTCAGTGAGCCTGATCTGGTGATCTGTTTAGAACATGGCGGAGCCTTTCATACTCGGTGTAGTACTGCCAGAGAGGATTGCGGCAACATATCCGACCTTATGAGCAATGTTTGTTAATATATTTGTTAATGTAACGCACACTCGGGGTCCTATGTCACCCTGTGTAAAATTGGAAATTGAAGTATATTACGTAAACTTAGCTGTGTGCAGCTTTATTTTGCTAGCGCTACCCAGCAAAGCTGTGTCTGCTAAAGAGCTAATAAGCTAGGTGAACTTTGCAGCTGTTAAATCTGAGTTTATTGGCCCTGCTTCTGGAGACCTACAGCTTCACATGGTTTCAACTACTCCTTATATCAAAACACCTGATCCTGCTCATCAACTGATTATCAAGCCCTTCATAAGCTGAATCAGGTGTGTCAGGTCAGGAAATCTGTGGTACTGTGAGGTCGAGGGAAATAATGCAGCGCTAACCTAACCACACTAATAAATGGAAAATACCGATTACTGCCAGCTATGACTTACTGCTGCTGTGAGAGCTGATAAACAGTTTAATCACTACAAAATGAATCAAATCAATTTCTCCTGGTTGGCCGTAAGTTCTGGGGTTATGAAGGCTGTTCTGTCAGTCTTATGTTGCTTCTACCCATAGAATCCCTCAGTGTCAGTCACTGAAACAGGCTTCCTATCTCAGAACACTAGCTTACAGAATGCTACTGCTCCAAATTACTAGTCTTTACATTAATACAGCAAACTAACTTTAGGTATTTAGGCAATTATCATTATCAGCATGAATAGCAGAGTTATCCCTAGCGGACAGCTTCGAACTTTAAAGGTGGTGCAGTTTCGTTCATTCATAAACAACGTTTGTTAAAGATGGTTAAGATGGAGCATTTGAGCAACAATAAAAATTGTTTATACATGGTTAAATGTAAAAGAATACATTCATTTCCTCAACACAGAACAGCATAAAATATTTTAACACCACTGTTATATTTTTCATGACATGAGTGAGCAAAAATAGCCAATGAGCTGCAGCACTCACCAACCAGCACTCAGTAGCAGTGAGTGTAGCAAAACCCTATTGCTGTAGAAAAAGGAAACATACAGGTAAGTTTTTTTGCTTTTTTAGTGAAATACATCCTTATACTTTCTAGAATGAAAGTTCTGGGCAAGAAACTATTTTAACTTTTTGTTTATAGACATTTAGCTCCATTTACTCACATTCATTGAGAACTCACTTTCAGTCATGTTTTTGATATAACGGGGGAAATAGGAAGAGGACAGGCTCCTTATAAATCTGCTGTATTTTTTAGCAATTTTCATTATTTTATTTGGCCATGTAATATAAACTTTTCCCTACAACAGTCATTTTTCAATCTTCAATCTCTTCTGAAATAAATTATAATTTAAAGAGGACATAAACCCCTAGACTGCTGCGTTTTTTCTAATAGAAGAATTAGGCCAGTGTGAAGGGTCAGCCTGTGCCGCCAGTCGCCAGCAGGGGGCCGAAGTCCAAGAATCCCCAGCGCTAATTAGCACACCTACTGGTCTCAGCTTAAAAGCCCACACCAGCTACAGTGCTCTGTTGCACCTTTTAGAGGGGCTAATGGTACAATACTCTACACCAAGGTTTGTATCTGAGAAAATACCAGAAAAGACAAAACAAGAAAAGACAAGAAGAAAAAAAGGGAAAAGAATCCTGCTAAGAACAAAGAAAAGACAAACTTAGGCTATGTTTACACAGCAGGTAAAAGTGGCCCAAATCCAATCTTTTCCTTCATATAAGACACAGATGTGTCATCTGTGTGGCTGTGTGAACAGCAAAAAACGCACTGAATCTTACATTTTCAATTCCGATTTGAGACGCTTTCATATGTGGTACTGAAATCCGATATGTATCCGATCCGCGGCAATGCGACTCAGTCTGAACAGCCAGATCGGAATTCATGCGACTTTTACGTCAGTCCTACTCGATGTTCGTCATAATTTCGCACTGCTGAGACTCATAAATATTTAGGCTGATGTTTCTGTACCAAAAATCTAAAAGAGTGTTCTAAGAGTTTTCGAACGAAACGGCCGAACGCAGCCAGAGGAGGCTGCAGAGAAAAAAAAGTTTAAAGAATCCGAGGACACGAACCAAAGAAGCGGCCATGGCCGAATAACGTGCTCTTTTTACGGCGAACTCGAACACACTGTGGGTGATGAGTCCAGCTGTCAACCATTGGAACTTTATACTCCTGTGATATGGGAGGCAAATCCAGCCAAAAAAGAAATTAAAATTAAAACTATAAAATGAAAATGCAAACTTCTTTTTGCCATTTCTTTTTCCAAACATCTGCGCAAATATCCTGCCAAAATTGAAAATGAAATGAAATGTCTACATTTGCAATTTCATTTTTCACATGAGCACGGGACAAAAATAAATTTAAAACAGCTATTTGTCATTTCATTTTAGTCGTTATTCTGGTTTTTCATGGCCAAATCTAAAATGAAAAAGCTAATAGAGAAAAGAAAATCCAAGCTTCACTTTGGCTTTGGCTTTTCTTCATGAAATGCAGAATATGTGTCAAAACTAAAATCAAAATGCAATGTTCACGTTCTCATTTCTTTTTTCACAGCAATCGGCTACATATCTGACAAAATGAAAATGAAAATGCAAAACTGATAAATCAACAGCAAAGTCACAGTTTGTGATTCAGTTTTCGGCGTGGATGTGCTTTAAGTGTCAGAATGAAAAGGCAAATGCAAACGAACATCGGCGCCACCTGCTGGACATTTACTTTACATTTTCCACTTTTCGATTTCGTTTTCAAACTGACCAACATGCAAATATATGTTAATTAGCACTAGGCGGGGCTACGGTACATTTTAGAACATCCTCAGACCTCCGAGTCAGTGCCTGTGTTTTGGCCATTGCCCCCCTAAATGCCTGTGCACTTTCCAGACTTCATAAACAGCATTTGTCCACAGAGATGCTAGTCAGTGCAAGGTGTCTTTAGCTTGAGCAGAAGCTGCAGTACAGCCCACCTGTAAGGTCTGAAATGCTGCCTTCTGCTACCAGTCTCTGAAGAAAAACTGTCTCATGGTCCACGTTGTGCATGGCCTGCTTCAACATGGTGGTCATAGGTAGATTTTCATAGTAATGCAGTGGTGTCTCCTTCTGGCTGAGGTTGTAGCCGAAGCCTGCTAAGCTGACCTCATCACACAAATAGGTTGCCAAGTTCAGGGCAGAGACACCTAAGGTAGGAATATTCTACAGAGAAACACAAGACCACAGAGAACAAGAAAATCAGAACAACATTGTAAAGAAAACAATTCCACAATTTGACATGAAAAATTAACAGCTTATAATAACTACTGAATAGCAACTAGTCATTACTAGTCATTATATAGTCATTGCTGAAGTGTTTCCTAATGATATATATTGCTATAAATGCATCGCAAAATGCTGAAATATGAATTGTAAACCATTTACTTAATGGTATACAAATGAAGGGGATATGACAATCCACACACTCCTATAAAATGGCAGGTTTTGTGATGTAAGAAAATGAAAACAATCATGTCAGAATTTTTTCCAACTTTAATGTGGAAAACTATAAAGTGAAAATCAGAAAGATTTTTGGGTTAAAAAAAGAAAAAGAAAAAATAATCCAGTTGCACTGCCTTTTATAATTGGGAATGTGGCTATGTTTGGAATCAACCCATTACTTTCAAACTCATTAATTAGTAGCTAGTACATGTCTGTTATCAATTAAAGTAACTAACTAAAAAGTTAACCCCAAATAAAGTTCAGCTGCTCCTGTAGGACTTTGTGACACTTTCTTGGTTGCATACTACTGCAAAAGCCATGATCCACAAAGGATGAACGAGACCTCACTGTTGAAAGATACGTATCAGGAGAGGGGTACAAAAGAATTTCCCAGGCATTAGATATACCATGGAATACAGTGAAGACATCACTATGAACATGTGGAGAAAAAATGGCACAACAGCGACATTACCGCAAACAGGATGTTGATGAAAAGACGATGACAAAACTGGTCATGAAGGCTGCCAGGAGGCATAAGGTAAAATTAAGGGAGCTGCAGAAATTTCTGGCAAGTACTGGTTGCTAGGGTAGGTTGGCAAAACAGAAGCCTACACACACAAAAAAAAACATCACATCCAAACCCAGCTAAATTTTGGATGAAAATACATCTATGTCTCCCAAAATCATGATGGAAAATGTGTTATGGACTGATGAGACCAAGGCTTAGCTTTTCTTCATAATTCATAAACCTTCATAAAAGGTTTGTTTGGTCCAAAAATAATGCAGCATATCACCAAAAGAACACCATGCCCACAATGAAAATGTTTTTTTTATTTTTACAGGGGTGTGTAGACTTTTTATATTGACTATAATTACTATTACTATTTAATATTTATTTAATTAATATTTATTAGAATTATAGATAATTATTAAAATTATAGATGCCTAATCATTAATAATAGATTGCTAATAATAATCATTAATAATAGATTGCTAATAATCATTAATAATAGATTGCTAATAATAACACCAGTATTAAATTTCTAGTTTTACCTACTCTAAAGTTGTCTACAGTTAATTTCAGAGTGTGAAATCTGCCAAAACAGGGTATTGGCTATGAGTGTTACAATCAGTTAATGCTCCTTAAGTGTTGAAACTGTTTTGGGCCCATTCCCCAGTCTTATTCACAGCTGGACAGAAAAAGCAAGAAACCAGAAGTAGTACTGATTAAGACAAGATACTCATTTCACAGAATAATTTTGGCAATTGGTTTTTATCAAATATACAACAAATAGGCATACTGACAGTATTAGGTAAAATATTTGCCTAACCATCATTAGCTTGCCAGCTTCTTTCAGTCACCATTTCACAGTGCCATTAACATTAGCTAACATTAATCAACCAACCAATTAATTAATCAACTTTTATTTTCACTTGGAAATACATTAAGGGAGACCCTCAATTTCAATGCAGCTCAACATTTACAATGAAAAGAGATTGAAAAGAAATTAAAATGAACAGAACTACATGAAGAAATTAGCAGAAAAATCAAACTAAATCTAATAAGATAAATAGAAAGAGAAATTAAGAGAAGAATTATGAATTAAGAGGAGGAACAAGTAAAATAAAAATATTTTACAGCTAATAAATTTCAAATGTAAAGCAATTAAGTAAAAGAACTGTAAAAAGGAATAAGGCAAAATAAAATAAACAGTTATACAATTAAGATCAAATTAAAACAGGATTTTAATCAGTTAATAAATAAATAAATAAATAAATAAATAAGGAAAAACTCAACTAAAACAGTTACTGGCTGTCTGAACGTGGCTAGAGATTATTATGATTGATCGACACCAGCGAGATGAGTTTTTAAGACCCCTGTAGTGAATTCAACTTCGCTGGTGCCCTGTAGCTAAAAGCAGATTTTCCCATTTCAGGAAAAAGCTCTAGTTACCTGACAGGTAATTTTCACTAGAGCGAGTCTGATTATTACTGTTACCATTATTTATAGAGATCAAATATGACATACAAGCTGGCATATGGCCGGAGAGTGATTTATAAATAAAAATAAGTCAGTGTGTTTCCTGGCATGCTGCTTTTTTATACAGTCTGCCGTGGTGAGTGTTGTAAGTTGTAAATCTCAAAGTGGAGTGACAGATTGAGTGTAGCGGTTTGAGGGTACTGGTGGATGCATGTCTATAAACTATTAAAACATATGGCTCTCATTCTTACACTGAAAACAAGCCTTAAGTTAAAAGAATTACTACGATATTCCTAGCTGAATGATTAAATAGTATTAAACTTCAAAGACAATGCAAAATTACAGGCAAGTTGGTCTGTCTATGTTTATGTGTACTTCATAGCCTGCTAGCTACTCAGCACACTTTGTAATGTTTACCAGTCTTTTGTGACCTGGCAAGCCCGTTAAATGTGGTAATTTCACTAGTTCACATGGGAAACGCTGTCCGTTTCAGGTCAACATTTGAGGTCAACTTTCTTAGTTTAAACTGTCCCATCATGTTGCCTGAACAGTTATCCTACATATTTTTAACACGTGGTTATTATTATTAAACCAACTCTCATGTTATTTTCTCATGGTCAGTTTTATGATTTTATGATTTTGACCCGTTATTTTGACTCTCCGGCATAAATATGCAAAGCTGGACAAAACTTTTTCTAAGCTTTGCCATGGTTGACAAACTAACAAAGTCCCCTACATACAGTGGTGTGAAAAAGTGTTTACCCCCTTCCTGATTTCTTATTCTTTTGCATGTTTGTCACAGTTAAATATTTCAGATCACCAAACAAATTTAAATATTAGACAAAGATAACACAAGTAAACACAAAATGCAGTTTATAAATGAAGGTCTTTATTATTAAGGGAAAAAGATATCCAAACCTACAGGGCCCTGTGTGAAAAAGTGATTGCCCCCTCCATTAAAACATAAATTAACTGTGGTTTATCACATCTTTGGAAAGCTGAGTTCAACTTCACCCAGGCCTGATTACTGCCACACCTGTTCTCAATCAAGAAATCACTTAAATAGGACCTGCCTGACAAAGTGAAGTAGACCAAAAGATCCTCAAAAGCAAGACATCATGCTGCGATGCAAAGAAATTCAGGAACAAATGAGAAACAAAGTAAATCAGCCTGGAAAAGGTTATAAAGCCATTTCTAAAGCTTTGGGACTCCAGCGACACACAGTGAGAGCCATTATCCACAAATGGCGAAAACATGGAACAGTGGTGAACCTTCCCAGGAGTGGCCAGCCGACCAAAATTACCCCAAGAGTGCAGCGATGACTCATCCAAGAGGTCACAAAAGACCCCACAACAACATCCAAAGAACTGCAGGCCTCACTTGCCTCAGTTAAGGTCAGTGTTCATGACTCCACCATAAGAAAGAGACTGGGCAAAAATGGCCTGCATGGCAGAGTTCCAAGACGAAAACCACTGCTGAGCAAAAAGAACATAAAGGCTCGTCTCAGTTTTGCCAGAAAACATCTTGATGATCCCCAAGACTTTTGGGAGAATACTCTGTGGACTGACGAGACAAAACTTTTTGGAAGGTGTATGTTCCATTACATCTTGCGTAGAAGTAACACAGCATTTCAGAAAAGGAACATCATACCAACAGTAAAATATGGTGGTGGTACTGTGATGGTCTGGGGCTGTTTTGCTGCTTCAGGGCCTGGAAGACTTGCTGTGGTAAATGGAACCATGAATTCTACCTGTCTACCAAAGAATCCTGAAGGAGAATGTCCGGCCATCTGTTCGTGACCGCAAGCTGAAACGCACTTGGGTTCTGCAGCAGGACAATGATCCAAAACACACCAGCAAGTCCACCTCTGAATGGCTTAAGAAAAACAAAATTAAGACTTTGGAGTGGCCTAGTCAAAGTCCTGACCTGAATCTGATTAAGATGCTGAGGCACGACCCTAAAAAGGCAGTTCAGGCTTGGAAACCCTCCAATGTGGCTGAATTACAACAATTCTGCAAAGATGAGTGGGCCAAAATTCCTCCACAGCGCTGTAAAAGAGTCACTGCCAGTTATCACAAACGCTTCATTGCAGTTGTTGCTGCTAAGGGTGGCCCAACCAGTTATTACGTTTAGGGGCCAATCACTTTTTCACACAGGGCCCTGTAGGTTTGGATTTCTTTTTCCCTTAATAATAAAGATCTTTGTTTATAAACTGCATTTTGTGTTTACTTGTGTTATCTTTGTCTAATATTTAAATTTGTTTGGTGATCTGAAACATTTAAGTGTGACAAACATGCAAAAGAATAAGAAATCAGAAAGGGGGCAAACACTTTTTCACACCACTGTATATGACACTAAACTAGGATCAATTGAGAAATGTAGAGTTTGCATTCTTTTTAACACTAAAATCCACAAAATCAGACGAGTCATTATTGCATCTATATCCAACAATGACCCCAAGTCTTCTTTACCATGTAAAGATAATTGCTAAAATGTCCTAGTTTAGTGCTATCAATAATGAAATTTGAATAGTGAGAGTCATCTTAAATCATCTACTTGCAGGCTTGACATGTTACCAATCAACTTTTTAAAGAAGGTGTTTCACTTAATAGCATCGGACATACTTCAGATTGTTAACATATTGGGTGATTTTCCTAACATATTAAAAACTGCAATTGTGAAGTTTCTTTTAAAAAAGAAAAATCTAGAAGCAACTATATTAACTAACTATAGACCTATTTATAGACCTATACAATGCAGAGGTGTGTCGGCCATGAGAAGCCCATAACATCCAGAGCCTTAAGCATTTCTGGGTGAATCTTATCTTACTGAATGGTTGTCCAGAACCTCTTTGAAGCCAACCAAAAGACTTTTCCATGGCCTCTCTAAACTTCTCACTTGTTACGGATTTTGCTTCTGCCACTGCCGCCAGTGCTGTTTTTTTTTTTGCCTGTTGGTGCCTATTTACTGAATCGGGAGTCCTCCAGGCCAACCAGTTCCAAAAGGGCTCCTTCTTCAGCTTGACGGCCTCCGTCACCACCGGTGTCCACCCGCAGGTTTTTGGGTTGCCATCCTGACAAGCACCAACAAGCTTTTGGCTACAGCTATGGCTGGCAGCTTCCACAATGGAGGTTCTGAACAGGGTCCATTCAGACTCCATGTCCCCTACCTCATCCGGTGCATGAGAAAAGTCAGTTCCCAGTCGTTCCCTGTACACCCTCACTGTGTGCTTGGGTCTACCAGATCTGACTGCCAGTCATCTCTGCTATCTGATCCAACTCACCACCAGATGGTGATCGGTTGACAGCTCAGCACCAATCTTTACCCAAGAACACATGGTCCCAAGTCAGATGAAATGACAACAAAGTCAATCATTGACCTCTGACTCAAGGAAAAATCATAAAAACAAGTGCACAGGGACTTTAAAAAAATTAATTGACAATGACTAACTTAAAGAACTTTGGTACATGGCCCAGGGCTGAGTGAAGAAATTACATCTAAATTACATTTAGTAAAGCCTTCCCAATCACTGGTTATAAATTTAGAACTAAAAGGTATTTAGTCAAGTACATTTACATTTACAGCATTTAGCAGACGCTCTTATCTATCCAGAGAAAGTATCTTCGCTAAGTACACATATGGTAATGAATGCAGAATGTAGAAATGGAAGAATGCAAGAATGTAGATGCTTCATGTATGCCTGTACTGTAAGGAGAGAACCTTTACCTGATCCCAGCCCCAAAGCCGCTGCTTAGGTTTGGGGTAATGAAGCAGGTCCAATGCTGTCTCCCTGATGATTTCTGGATTCAGGATAAGGAACTTTGAAGGATCCAGAGGAATGCTCTCTGGCACTTTCTGCCAGAAAAATATCTTGTCCCAGAGTGACTGAAAAGAAACATTTACATTATTAGACATAGCTGTGGTGTTTGCTTTCTCATTCAACTTCATTTTAAGTAGGGGTTTAACATTTCTCAACATGTAATATTCATTAGATATTGATACAGCAAAAATAATGAGTGGCTGAAATACTGAGTTAATTTTGTGCCAAAATATTTGAGAGAAGATTATGATGTTTGAGAAAGGAATGTTACCCTTTGGGAGGACAATGGTCATCTGAGCGCACAGCAAATGAACTTGAATGTACTTGTCAGCACAAAGTACAAACAAAACACTCTGGTTCCACTCAAAACCTGAAAATCTGCATAACAATGCATCTCCCTCTCAGAACTCATACGTGTAAAACACGTGAGATAAAGGTATATGTTCCAGTTAAAGGTCTTAAATAAAATAACAGCTAGAGAAGCGTTCATACTACATATAGCAGCATAGTTTACACTGCAGAATTTTAGTTAAACAGCTAGGAAAGCTAAAAGCAGGTTATTCTTATCTACCTTCACTGTGTATCTGTTAGCTTTAAAATCTGTGCTTATCAAGTGCAAACAGGTAAGGAATTAGACTGCTGGCTACTGATAACAGACACTTTTCAACTGGTCTATTTTCTATAATCTCTGTAATTGGACTGTATTCTGCCCTCATTATAGAAGATTTACCAGGAGAGATAACAACAAATGATCAATTCTGAACAAAAGCAGAATGTATCAGCCTTAATAAAAAAAAAAAAATTAAAAAAATAAAAAAACAATATAGTAACTTGATCAGATAAGGATAAAAAAAAATAAAAAGCATAATTAATTAAATAAATAAAGAAACAGAAGATGTAAGATAATAAACTGGCAATAAAAAGAATAAAAAGGATAATAAAAGTACAACCTCATTCCAAAAAAGTTGGGACATAAAAACAGAATGCAATGATGTGCAAATTACAACCCCAACTCCAGAAAAGTTGGGACGCTGTGTAAAATGTAAATAAACGTAAATAAAAACAGAATGTAACGATTTGGAAATCTCATAGACCCACATTTTATTCCCAAAGAACATACTATGTACAAACAGGATACAGAAATGCCGCCACCTCCTCTGGGCCGAGCTCATTTAAAATGGGAAATTATGGATATGCAACAATTGAAAAATAACATTTCTCAACAGAAAATAGCTCTTGCTTTGCTTTTCACCATCTACAGTACATAACATAATTAAAAGATTCCGAGAATCTGGAGAAATCTCTGTATGCAAGGGACAAGGCCAAAAACAGTATTTGCTAGCCATGATCTTTGGGCCCCCAGGACATGATTCTGTAGAGGAAATCACTGCATGGGCTCAGAAACACTTCTTAAAAACACTGTCTGTAAACACAGTTCATCACTGCATCCACAAATGCAAGCTAAAACTCTGAAAACGCAAAGAAGAAACCATATATAAACAGGATCCAAAAATGCTGCCACCTTCTCTGGGCCCGAGCTCATTTAAAATGGACTGAGAGGAAGTGGAAAAGTGTTCTGTGGAGCAACAAATCAACATTTGAAATTCTTTTTGGAAATCATGTGTCCTCCGAGCTAAAGGCCACTCAGCTTGTTATCAGTGCACAGTTCAAAAGCCAGTATTCATGATGGCATAGGGGTGCATTAGTGCACATGGCAAACATATATACATGTTTTGGCAACATATGCTGCCATCCAGACAACGTCTTTTCAGGGAAGGCCTCGCTTATTTCAGCAAGACAATGCCAAACCACATTCTGCATGTATTACAACAGCATAGCTCTGTATTAAAAGAGTCCAGGTGCTAAACTGGCCTGCCTGCAGTCCAGACCTGTCATCCACTGATATCATTTGGCACATTATGCAATGAAAAATACAACAAAGGAGACTCTGAACTGTTGAGCAGCTGAAATCCTATATCAAGCAAGAACAGAAAACATTTCACTTTCAAAACTACAGCAGTCGGTCTCCTCAGTTCCCAAACACTTACAGAGTGTTGTTAAAAGAAGAGGTGATGGAGTACAGTGGTAAACATGCCCCCGTCCCAATTTTTTGCAATGTGTTGTTGGCATCAAATTCAAAATGGGCATATATTTTTTCGAAAAACAGTGCAATTTCTCAGTTTCAACATTTGATATGTTGTCTTTGTAATATTTTCAATTATAGGATTTCAATGATTTGCACTTCATTGCATTCTGTTTTTATTTGAATTTTGCACAGCGTCCCAACTTTTTTGGAAATGGGGTTGTAAAATAATAGCTAAAACATACCAAAATTGTATTAAAAGTAAAGTATCAAGTAAAACAGCTGCAGGCTGACTGGAGGTGGTTAAAGACTAAAAGTTTAACATGTATACGTGACACCAGCGAGCGCAACTTTAGAGTTTCTTGTAATGAATTTCAGCTCGCTGGTGCACTGTAGCTAACAGCAGATTTTTCAAAAACGCTCTCCGCACCTGAAGGGTACTAGTTTTGTAAAAAGCATTATTTACACTGAGCATTGTTGTGATGTAAAATGGCATATGGCCAGTAAGCACTTTATAGATAAAAGGAAGCCATGTGTCTCCTGATGCACAGCCAGAGACAACCTTTTCATATAGTACACAGTGATGGGTATTGTATGGGTTACAAGTAATGAATCTCAAGGCAGAGTGGCATACAGAGTCTAGAGATTTTAGAGTAGTTGCACACGCATTTCTGTACATCACATCACCATAATCCAGAACAGGTGATAGCATTGCTTCAACAATCTTTTTCCTCATGTGCATTGGGAAACATACTTTCTTACGATACAGGAAGCCAAGTTTTCTGCCTCAGTCTTCATGTAAGCTTCTTAATAGTGTTTATAAGTGCATTTGTCATCTAACCATATGCCAAAGTATTTGTACTCACTAACTCTTTCAATGTCAGATCCCTTCAGGGTTGTGACTTTAAAAGTGTTAAAATCAATGTTATAGGCCCTGGAAAACAGCTTAAATCGTTTTTTTTCAACATTTGAGACTAGTTTATGATTGTAAAAAGCAGATTGTAGGGCATTAAAAGAATGCTGCAGTTTATTCACTGCAGTACTAATTTAGTCAGCTGAGCAGTACAAGATGGTGTCATCGGCATATAACTGTACTTTGCAATCAACAATTGAGGTGCCAATGTCATTAATATAAATATTAAATAACACTGGTCCGAGGAGTGAACCTTGAACCTTCACTCCAACAAAGTAGATCACCTGATGAAACGTCTGAAGACTAAGACCGCGTTGATGGTGTTAAGATCTTTGGCTACTACGCGAGGAGAGAGGGTGAATTAAAAGAGACCATGTCTTACAGCAAGGTGTCTATCTATTTTATTGAGGGGTGCTTCCACATTAGTATTATCAAATAAATGTCAAGAAGCTGCAAAGTGAGTAATACATGTTTGGCAGATCTCTCTCAGTAATCTGTTGATTATTAATTACAAAATGGGTTGGAATAGGCATTGATTTGTTACTAGGCAAATTAACGGTCTTCCAGGATTTTGAGGAGTTTGTAGCTGAAATTGTAAATATATGAAGGTAGAATTCTGCTTTAGCTTTTCTGTAGGAAGTACATTTATTTCTTACTGCCTAAAGCTAAGCCAATGGTCTTTGTCACCATTTCCTCTTGTGAGGGCCCATCCTTTATTTCTTGCATTGAGAAAGAGCTGAACCAGGGATTTGATCTATCTCTAATTGACGTTTTTATAGTGGGCATGCTTGTTTACCACTGCCAGGAAAGTTTAGCTAAAATGGTCTAGCGCTAAATCAATATCTGGGATTTCAGAAGTGTAGTGGTTGTCACTCAGCGCAAGGATTTCCAAGAGCCTGACTTTATTATGCTAATGTTTCTAATGCATCCAATAGGGCAGTGGTTACTAAAACCAGGGTCAAATACACCTACAGAAGTAATTTTACCAGGTCTGTTGGATAAAATTAAGTCTATTAGTGTTGACGTGGTGGGGTCATGTAAGTTGGATCATGTTGGTTTTGTAATTTGGATCATGTTGGTTTTGTAATTAGTTGTGTTAGTACACAGTTCAAGTGATTCTTCAAGTACTTCTGAAAGACTCAGCCTCTCTGGGATGCTCTTTTTATACCCAATCATGTTACTCACCGGTTGCCAATTTACTTAATTAGTTGTAAGATGTTCCACCAGGTGATTTTTTTTAGTATTACACAACTACCGGTCTTTTGTTGCCTCTGTCACAACTTTTTTGAAATGTGTTGCTGGCATCAAAATGCAAAATGGCCTTTCCCAGTTTCAATGTTTGATATGTTGTCTTGGTACTATTCTCTATTAAATGTATGGTTTGAATGATTTGCATATCACTGCATTCTTTTTTTATTTGCATTTTTCACAGTGTCCCAACCTTTTTGGAAATGGGGTTGTAAACTGATGATGTTTAAGGTAAAGTAAACTCAGGTTTGAGGTGTGCTGATGTCTCAGGATACTTTCATGTGTCCTGGTTTCCCCAGTTCTGTGCGCTCCAAACATAACTAACAGTCCTGTTGTGGTATTCCTGCTTTAGTTCTGCCACACAATGTGGAAGACACTGCAGCACACTTGACACAATAGCATGGGGATGAACATATAAATGAGGTGGAATTCACACGAGACAGGGTAATAATGAGTTGTCATGATAATGTAATACCATGATGTCATGTAATGATCATGGTCTGGGGAGAACAGCTATGGTATTCATGTTGACAAAGATCAATATTAAATCAAGGGTGTGGTTAGAGTAGTGACAGAGCCCCATTATAATTTGATATTCAATTCAGACTTACAGGGAAAGTGCACATTAATAAACTTTTCTGTAAATGGACCTGTTTAGCCAATTTGCCTTATTTTCAAATGTAGTCCCTGGCAATTATAAAAAAACAATTATTGCTTTATCTGTAGAAAATGTTCATATAAAGTCAGCAAATTCTTGTAATAATGCTAATAACACTAATGCTCACCCCCAGTTATAACATAACTGTTCCTCTGTTACCCAAGCTCTCACACAGATTCAAAGTCTTCAGCCAGAAAACACACACTTACAAAAAGCTAACATCCTGCTGCCATGGGCTTGTTTTACATTGCTGTGTCTATGCAATGGCCAATTACCTTGCAGTCTAAAATCTTTAATTACTAATCATCTAGTCACATATCTTTAGTATCAAATTTTTAATATTGGCAATTAATTTGACAGCCTCTTTAAACATTCAATAAAGATTACCTAGCACTAGCAAAAGGTTTATGCATCACCAAGTAGAAAGATAAATAACTACTTGCTATTTGACTACTTTGTTATTTAACTATTTGTTCTTTTGCATTTTTTAAGTTAAGCAAAAATAAACTTTCATTAAAAAAAAAAATGCAGAAAAAAATGTTTTAAAATAATTTGCAGAGCTTGCATTTACTTCTTTTCATTCTCACAAAATGAATAAAATATGTAATTGGGCCAGGGGTGTAAAGCCTTTTGCATACAACTGTATTTATTACATTTAACATACAACCCCAATTCCAAAAAAAATTGGGCTGCTGTATAAAATGTTAATAAATGTATGTTTCAGGGCCTTCCATGGAAGAGACGTTGTCGGGATGGTAGCATATGTTGTTCTAAAACCTCTATATACTGTTCTGCATTGATAGTGCCTTTCCAGATGTGTAAGCTGCCCACGCCAAAGGCACTAATGCAACCCCATGCCATCAGAGATGAAGGCTTTTGAACTGTGCGTTTGTCCTTTGCATACAGGGATTTCTCCAGATTCTTGGTATTTTTTGATGATATTATGTACTGTAGGTGGTGGGAAATCCAACGTCTTCTTTACGTTAAGGAACATTTTTCTGAAACTGTTCCACAAGTTTTAGAGGCAGTTTTTTGCAGACTGGTGAACATCTGCCGATCTTTGCTTCTGAAAGACTCTGTGTCTCTAAAATGCTCTTTTTAAACCCAGTCATGTGAGTTAGTTGCAAATTGCACCTCCAGCTGTTTTTTATTAGTACCACTTACTTTTCCAGCCTTTTGTTGCCCTGTCCCAACTTTTTTGAGATGCGTTGCTGCCATCAAGTTCTAAATAAGTTAATGTTTTTCATGAAATAGTAAAATGTCTCACTTTCAACATCTGATATGTGTTCTCCGTTCTATTGTGAATAATATATGGGTCTATGAAATTTGCAAATCATTGCATTGTGTTTTTATTTACATTTATTTACATTTTATTTATTACAGCATCCCAACTTTTTTGGAAATGGGGTGGTTGTTTTATGTATTTAGCTCCTCTAGTTCAAACAAAATAGAATTGTAAAGAATTATTTGTGTTTTGCATAATGTCTAATTTGCTTGTATAAAAGCATTAACCTTGCTCAATTGCTTTCAAAATTATTCAACAAAAAAGTGTTTTGCCCCATTCTCCTAATTCTTCAGAATGACTATGAATTGTTTATTCTCAACTACATATATGCTTACTATTTTAAGTTACATAATGTATTAGCTGTGCATATCAAATAACTAAATCATTAAACAAATCTAACGCACCACTGCATTATGTATATTACCATATTTTCTGAAAGAATATACACAACAATAAAAAGGATATCATAAACTCACCACTCTTGTTCTTGTGATCACAGCATGAAGCCAGTTGAAGTCCACGGATTTGTATATAACAGCCACAAATTGAAGCTGAGGATCTACATCTTCCCAATGCTTCGGGCTGCCTTCAGGATAACTCATTCTGATGGTGGTACGGTTCCCCACATCTCTGCTAAAGTCTCTCACAGGACCACTGTTCAATCTGTCGAATGTTAAACACACATATTTACCCACAGGTATTGTTTCACAACGTGCATCAGCATCAAACAGCAAGTTCTATGGGTTTCTATTCAACTGTACAAAAAAACATACTGCCCCAAAATATTTCAGATTTTAAATAAAATTTAATCACTGTAGTTTATCTGGCTAGTTAAATTAGTGTTATCTGTTAGCAATGCTGATTGACACAAACACACACACACACACACACACACACACACTTGACATTTTAACCATCCTGCTGTATATGTTTTCCAGCTAGGCATAGTTTTGTCTTGTGCACTAATCATTTGCATTTTTTTTTTAAACAGTGGCATATGTTGGTTGATATTATTAGTCCGTAAAAGCAGGTAACAAGTGATGCCACATTTCTTCTAGGGGCTGTATTCCCTGCATAGGGGGTCATCATGCCCCACTACAGGACATAATAAAGAAATTAAATACAAAATATGAAATCTTTATCTGAGACCCTGCATACCAAAGAAGACTTCTATGGTAGACACCCAAATACATGTGGTATCAAAAAATTACATAAATTGCTTGATAAAAATCTTCCTACATCCCACAGAAATTGTTCAGAAGTGTATAGGGTTATAGGTGGTGTAAAACTATAACACAACAAAACAATTTTGATTTACACAAAGTAAAATAACCCAGCAACTCTTTTGGAAACACAGGCCATGTTTGTTTTATTTCATAGACAAACTCAAAACTTTAACTGACTGATTATGTACAATGCTTAGTTATAGTGGCAAGTCTATGACAATTAGATGCAACAATAGCTCCCCTGTTAGTGTGTTGGCACTTTCCTGCTGTTTGTGTCTATGCCTGTGTTCGAATCCCCTCCTGAAGTTATCATTGGTTTAACTGCTGTATAAATTCCTGCTTTTTGATGTATGTTTGTGAAGCATTGTAGCATATGTGGTTTTCTGTGTAACTTTGTCATGGTTTCTTTTCACACTCACAAGTAGAAAAGGAGATATTTTAGCATGATTTTTATTCACATGTTGACATGAAACGGTCAGTGCACCTCATTCAACCCCAAGAAATACATGTATATCCCCTTTCTTCTAAAATCCTGCTTGCCTCATACAAAAATGAAAATCAATAATAGTTATACCAAAAACAAATGTAATAAGAATAATATCAATGCTGTCTAAAATACTTCAAAAAAATATTGAGGGGACAGCTTAAAAAAACAATATCTTCTCAAACTTTGCACCGTTTCCATTCACTTTAGCAGTTATCAGTGTATATCTCTATGTCACTGTGCGACAGATATAGGCAGCTAATCACACAGTTTAAATGTTCTCCTACAAAGTTTACCTGGGACACAAACAAAGAATAAAGAAGCAATGTCTTTAGAACCCTTTAACGTGTATGTGAGTTCCTATTGTATTAAGACATTTGTTATCAGTCAGTCAACCCTTATTTCAACTTGGAAGTAAACTGAGAGTGACCCTCATTTACAATGTAGCCAAGCAAGTTTAAATGAGGTAATTTGACAATACATCCGGTTTAGTGAAAGTTTAACAGCAGATAAGTAGACATATGTTCTTACATTAAGCTTAGAACATTCACATTCCTCAAACAAGGAATTTGATGATGAAGAGAGGCAAGGTGTGGATGTAAACACTTCCACTTGTTCTGCCTTACTTATTCTCTTTTAATGGGTAAAAACTGACCACACACTCACATACTGCCTCTCAGAGAACAGAGTGGGAATCACACTGAGAAATGTGACTAAATGTCACACACCTCATTGGCCTCCTTGACCAAGCTGTAAAATATTTTAATGTAGTTACACGCTGATGTAAGAAACATGCCGATGCTGGTGTATCTAACAAAACTACTATCTGTCGTGCTCAGGCTGTGCAGATTGGAAACAGTTCCACATATTTACTTAAGTATTTGCCTATCATTAGTAAAGGTGTGTTGCATTACCTGTTTTGTGGAAAAGTTCCTATAAGATCAATGTCTATTGTACATCCAGGTTCAACTACGGGTGTGGATTGCAGCGACCCTGAAAGTTTGGACAATGTTGTTTTGTGACATTGACAGATGCACTGTTGGACTGCACCCATAAGGCTTTACATATTCCAGGCCAATAGGCCCCATTTTGTGAACTCACTTGTTGACAGGTTTGTCCTTGCGGGCTGTTAGACAAGCTTTGGAACACATACACATTATGCTCTACATAGTGTAAAAGGCTGGGACTTTTTTTTATTTTGCTGCGTCCCGTATGGGTTGAAGGGCAGGACGTTTTTTATTAATGCTTGCTAATCTCTTCCCACCCACATGAGGGTTCGAATAGTGGCAGAGGTCACTATTGTCACTATGTTCACTATTTTCACAAAACAGTTTTGTTGTTTAACCCTGTTGTTTTTACCAGCTATTACAAGACAAGAGTCTTTTAACTTCATATGTGTATCATATGTAGCATTTTTAAGACGACCATACAATGTCCAAAAATTCAAAACTAATAAGTTCTTATTCAGTATTTAGCCATTACTGCGTTAGAATAAGACGATCCACAGCCAAAGCCAAAGAAGCTTACAAGAGACTTGAAATTTACATAAAGAAAGACAAAGCTCTTCAGATTAAAAAAAACAAACACTAAAAACAAACACTAATAGTCTCTTATCAAAGCCAACATTATAGCCTTCTTTTTTCAGTTTATAAAGAGTTAGCTAGCTGATACCAAACAAGCTAACTCATGTTAAAAGTTTTATTTAACTAAATTCATACTGTGTGTATAAAAATGATTTTTCTACATAGCAGTACTGTATCTGCTATGAGATGCTGCATGTGCGGTGGCCTTTAGAAGCTGACAAGAATGAAAATGTATTTCGTCACTAGCAGGCAGGTTTAGTGGGTCCCATATAAACTGAAACTAAAATTGTTTTTCTGGAAAAAGGGACAAAAACACATGTAGGCCAGAGATAATGTTACCCATTACATTGCCTTGAACTACCTAAATGAATACGTTATTATTAATAAAAACATATTGGTTGGCATATGGCATGGTTACTAGCAGCATTTTATTTTCTCTGTCTCTCCATGGCTGTTGCTGATTTACAGTGAAAGGTATCTAAAATTTCTCAGCAGTTTGAGATGTCTTCAAACTTTAAATAGTGTGAAAGCTAAAGCATGCCGATGCACGCTCAACAGCTGCTTTAATCAGATGCATCATGACAGTTGAAGAAAAGGCAGCTGCACAGTTTATTTTTTTTGTCTCCTCTCCCATTTTCTACACATTACACCTACAGGAGCTTTTATGACATCCCATTCTAAATCCACAGGAATTAATATGGAGTTGGTCCCTCCACTCTTCTGGGAAGGCTTTCACTATCTCAGGGCAGGCCCCCAAGCACGAATTCACTGTTGTTCTGACCCACACTCATCTGTTTGTTGTTTTTTTTTTCATCCCTCGTTTCTCCCATAGACTCCTATTCATTTTTGCCACCCCACACAATCTATTACTTCTTTGCCTGACAGCCACCAAAATGCACATACTCACTCAGGGCAGGTCCCCAAGCTCTAAATCACAGCCACACTGACCCGCACTACTCTATCTGTTATTTCTTCATCCCTCGTTCCCCGCATACAGTCCCATTCATTTTCACCCAAACCCCAGCCCTATTATTTCCTTTGTCCAACAGATAACAAAACACATGTACTAACTCAGGTCAGATCCCCAAGCTCTAATCCACAACCTTACTGACCCGCAGCCCTTTTTTTGTCATTTTTTCATCCCTCTTTCCTTCCAAAGGGTCCCATCCATTTTTGCCTAAACCCAAGCCCTATTATTTATTTGTCCAACAGACACCAAAAAGAATGTACTACTCAGGGCAGATCCCCAAGGTCTAATCCACAGCCATACGGACCAGCACTCCTCTATTTGTCGTTTTTTCATCCCTCGTTCCTCCTACAGACTTCCATAGTAACCGCTGCGCAACCATTCCGAGTTTCCTTCAGTAAATGCACTTTTCTAGTTCTTTTTCTTCTTCTTCTATTTTATTATTATTTTCTACCGTTTCTTTGCCACCAAACTTGTCCCGCAGTTTTTTGAGATATCAACACTGTTCCAATTCCAGATTGTCCAGTCTGATTGTGTGATGCGTGCTTGTTTACAGTTTTTTGATCGGATGCATGGATTCCGTGTAGCTATGGAATTTTGCAGCATTTGTTCCCATAGAGAATCTACGGTACTTCTGCTTGCCTGAACGACACTGTTTCACATACACTCTCAGGGCAGGCCCCCAAGCACGAATTCACTGTTGTTCTGACCTGCACTCATCCATTTGTCGTTTTTTTCCATCCCTCGTTTCTCCCATAGACTCCTATTCATTTTTGCCACCCCACAACATCTATTACTTCTTTGCCCGACAGCCACCAAACTAAATATCCTCACTCAGGGCAGGCCCTCGAACTCTAATCCACAGCCATGCTGACCTGCACTCCTCTATGTGTCGTTTTTTCATCCCTTGTTCCTCCCATAGAGTCCCATTCATTTTCAGCTAAACCGTAGCTCTGGTTTTTCCTTTGCCCAACAGCCACCAAAATGCACATACTCACTCGGGGCAGGTCCCCAAGCTCTAAATCACAGCCACACTGACCAGTACTGTCATTTTTTCATCCCTCATACCTCCCATAGAGTCCCATTCATTTTCGCCCAAACACCAGTACTATTACTAACTTTGTCCAACAGCCACCAAAATTCAAGTATTCATTCAGGGCAGATCCCCAAGCTCTAATACACAGCCACACTGACCCGCACTCCTCTATATGACGTTTTTTCATCCCTCATTCCCCGCGTAAGGTCCCATTCATTTTCTTTCGCAAAAAAAGACCTAATCTGTCTTTTTCACAACTGCCATCAAAGTACATGTACTCATTCAGCTCAGGTCTCTAATCCACCGCACTCCTCTATGTGTCATTTTTTCATCCCTCATTCCTCCCCTAGAGTCCCATTCATTTTCA